ATTTCATCCGGGAAAGCTCTCAGTTGCCAATCTTGAGAGAAATTACATTTAGATTCTTTGTCATTTCCAAGCCCTCCATCTGAAAAACAAGCTCGGTGGAAAGAAAGTGCCTCACAAATACAATTTTAAAAGCCAAAGTGCCATTTTTAATAGGATTTCAAAGAAAAGGAATCCAGATGTGAACAATATTGAGATCCATCATAGCACACACAAAAAGATTAATTTTCATTTCCGTATCTTAATTAGGAAGAAGAAACTTACACAGTATTACTCCAGTAATTAAAGATATTACAGGTGCCTGCATATTTCCTGTGCCTAACTAAGTTATTGACACGAAAAGTAACTAACAAAATACACTACCTACAGTATCACCAATCAGTGCCTATACTAGTGAAGCATTTTACTAAATGCATATATATATTATACACAAAGATGTTTAGGCCACAAAAAACTAATGATTTTGCACTCAACATATAATCTTCTTTAATCTACATACATATACAATTGTCTGTAGGGTTTGGCAGTCAGCAAATAAGACACTAAAATAAAGTGTTGACATTTTTCTTTCATATGTGTAGCACAACTGAAAAATTTTAACTGTTCTTTATTGAAACATTCAATTTTTTGTGTACAACATACGGGAAAAAGTAAATCCATGAACCATACATTTATCTCATTTACTTTAATTTCTCCTGCTTCATTGTGCTCTTAGCCAGCTCCTGCAGTCCTACTAAGCCAGAGGTACTTACCTGAGTCCCATTAACTTCAATGGGACTACTAAACTAAGGGCTGCAGGGCAAGTCCCTTGGTACCTCTCCTCAGTAGCATTGAAGACATTGCTATATACTGGCCATCAATTACTTTGTTCTCTGTATAATTCTGGTTTGGGCAAGAGTTTGCTGAATGAATGGCAGAACTCCAAGATGTAATCTCCCCTCTACAGTGAGCAGATCACCCAAGGATCTACAAAATTACAAACCAAATTAACTCAGAATTTCCCATTGTGTCCAGAGGGGTAACTACCTTAGCAGACTGCTTCCAGGTCTCAATGTGTCAGGCAAGATAGCTATTTTTAGAAACAGTCACCAGCTGGGTAATAGAAAAATGTGTATGAATGTTTACACTGAGGGAGTGGATTCTCAACAACTGATGCACCAATGTATTGGCACAAGTTCCTTTAACAAACAGCTGGTGCTGGCAGGGCGCCATTGAAGAATTCAGCAGTTATGCACACCAAACCTGCAAAAAGACTGCACTAAAATCTCCTAGAAGTGTATAGAGTCCCTTTCTGTTATTGACAGGCATGCTCATACGTATATGCATAAAGTTGTTCTGAATTACAGCAACTTCAGCTAGCGTAAAACTTTTCCAAGGCTAATCATCGGGCAAAAAATAAAATGCAATAGCATTTCATGTTAACATATGGAATGTAAAAGTGCATAACTCTTAAAAATTGTGCATTTCTCTTAAAGTTTACACTGAATAGGAAGTGTTTTTTAAAATCTAGGACGATTTTCATAGTAATTTTTTACATTCAGACAGCATTCTACATCCTGAAGGGATACCAAAGGCCTGTTCATATACAGCACCACTTGAGTGCTGCCACTTCTTGGGAAAAGGGCAGGAGCCAGACAGATAGACACAACAGAGCATGTTGTACAACAGCTAAGGAAAAGGAAAGAATGAAATTCTGGTCAAGCAAACTGGGGCAAAAAAACTCCTCTTCCAAGAATGTCATGGCACTTTTAATTTACACACACAAAAGACAACAATTCAGCTTTTAAGGTCTCATCTGAAAGATCTTACCTACAAGGAACTGCACATAACTCTGTTTATCTCCCTCAAAATGATGAAGGGATGAGTTACTTCAAGATTTTCCAGTAATATTTTTACTGATAAACATTAAGCCTCCCAAAAAGTTTGGACAGTTGTATCTTAGCCTGGAATCCAATTTTCTTCTTGTTTCCCCAAATTTTCTTATATGTCCAAGACACTGAAACATAGACTCAACTTCATCCATCAAAAATTGTGTCAGAGCCTGGAATGTTTCAATTAATGCAAGCCAATGGACTGATCTTACATTGTTAACTCATTGTGTGTCTTACATTTATCATCATTTAGCTTTGTATGGGCACCTCAGGTTGCTGAAAGAGAACACACTGAGATGCATTATGTACGTGCAATAGCAATCTTCACGTACTCACATGGCAGAATTTAATACATCGCCAAAAATACAGAATATATAAAGATGTATTTTATGTATATACACGTGTAGATATATATTTGACACGCTGCAGTTAAAATTCTCTTACTACTGACTTTGTGGCATACTCAGAGTAACTCAATACTCAGTGCTGCAACACCAGTACAGATATAGATGTGGAGAACATTTTGTCACTATTTCAGCTGGCAGTGAAGTGGGGACATTCATCAGTTAATAGACTGTCTCCCCTCAATGTCTTTCCAGCAAAAGAGTCCCTTTTATTTCTAACAAGATGAAGCTACAGTGTCTACATGCTTGCTAGTGGCAGCCTATACCATCACCAGAGAGCTCCACTTAGCAGTGCATCAAAACGAATATCATTTTATTTAAACCAATTTTGGACTGCTATGAAATGCAAAGCCATTAGAATGTTATCCTAGAAAATAAATTAGCAAGTGGGGGCAAAACAAAACTCTGTCCAATTAAAGACACTTAGGGTTTGAAAACTCTAATGCAGAAAAACATTTCCCAGCAGCAAATGTTATTGTAGTTATCCATCATATTAGTTCATCAACTTTCCCTGAAGTCTGTTCTTTTTAGATTGCTGTATAACTACCAGTAATTGTCCCTCTGCTTTCTTATTGCTGAAATACTTCTGACCTGTTGGCTAACCTGAGAAATGAGATCCTGCATATATTTTTCTCTACACCTTTATGCGATGCACCTTTTCCTTGCATAAGCACTTTAAAAAAATTAAGTCTTTTTAAAACCGATCCTTTCTAATTAAATATGACTCCGTCCTAATTGAAAAAAATATTACTCTAGGCATTCTAAAATTATACATTTATAATTCCAAATGCCCTTTTCAGTATCATATAAAATTACTTACCTGATTTTACTGTCATGCACAATCACCACCAGTTACACATAAAAAATACATTTTGCTAAACCTTGAATATTACAGAAAAATCCTCAATTTAGACCACACATCATCATAGATGTACAGTTTAAGATCACTGAACAAAGGGAAGTTCTTTTCTGGTTTTGCCTGTTTCCTGTTTATTCCATCGTGAGGTTCAAAAGAAAATAAATAAAATATGTATTTTATCCATTTAAATTTCTCAGCAACTATTATAAGATTATACATACATTCACATATAACAGCAAAATTAGCTTCCCAGGTCATGCCATAAACTTCTGATGTTCCTACTCCAGGGGTTCTCAATCTGGGGGTCGTGACCCCTCAAAGGGTCACACAGTTTTTATATGGGGGGTCGTGAGTGGTCAGCCTCCATTCCCAAATCCCACTTCGCCTCCAGCATTCATATTAGTGTTAAATATAAAAAAAGTGTTTTTAATTTATAAGGGGGATCGCACTCAGAGGCTTGCTGTGTGAAAGGGGTCACCAGAACAAAAGTTGGAGAACCACTGCCCTACTCAATGCCATCAAGGTAGATCAGAGATACAGAGAAGGCTACATTAGACATGTGCTAATAGGTGGAAGAGAAAACAAACAAACAGATTTCAGTCAATAGGAGTCTATTTTCCATGAGTTCAACAGATACAAGCAAATGCTTATCTGCTCCCTTCCATCCTGTAAAAGTTGTCTGCATGGGTCTGTTGAACAGTTTTCTTTACAGTACAGACACCTCTGTTATAATCTTTCTTCTTCAGGGCAGCACAGGATTGATGTAGCAGACCTGCCATTTAATATTACCTCACTGTGCTAGGTAAAATTAACTCTTCATAGCAACAGATGAATATTCATACAAAATGTAAGGACTATTTTAAGTACCCTCCTGAAGGAACATGCTGACAGAGAGCAGATTGGATAATATAACTCTAGTTTTGAAGCCTGTTCTCTTCTCTGAAAAGCTTCAGTGAAGCCACCTTTATAGTGACCTATGCTGAAGCACCCCAATAAGTCCCCCCCCCCATCTGCACACAGCATCCCAAACCAAACCAATCCATTCAGCCCACAAAGCAAGACAAACAGATGCACGATACATTTCCAGATTTCCCTTCAAGGATGAAGGACACAAACACGCTGGAGGGAGGAGTGAAAGACGGTGATTCCACACGCGTAGACAAAACCCTCCAGATAACTGTGTCAGAGTTTTGCAAGGATGACCCCCCCCCAAAAAAATATCCAACTAAAAGGTGGAATATCATCATCATCGCCTTTGATTTAAAAGCCACGTTCACCTCACAGCCGGTCATTCCTTCCCACGCAAACTAAGCCCCCACTGACAAGGTAACACGAACAACAAAGGGGCGCACAGGGCAACCGTTCAGTCCCCTTTGCCGTGTGCGCTCCAGCCCCAGAGACACCTCCTCCAGAGCCCACTCTCCCAGCAGGCTGGGTCACCGCAACCCCGGGAAGGCAGCGCCGAGCCAGTGCAAACGACCGGCAGCTCCTGCACGCTCACCCGGGCGAAAAAGCCGGAACCCAGCCCTCTCTCGCCGTGCGCACACCCAGGTGTGTCTGCAGGCGGGTGGAGCGGCAGGCTACCCACCCACATGCGGTGCGCCCCCCACCCACGGGCACACACGCGCGGGTCACAGGGAAGCCACCTTTCCACAGCAACCTGGGGCTTGTCTCTTTAAGAGCCGCGGACCTTAAACGTGGGCCTCCCCGCACTTTCCCAGGCACTTTCTGGCGGCTGCAGCAACTCCCTGGCTCACAGGGGCTCCCGCCGAGCTGCATCCCCGGGAGCGGGAGCAGCAGCGCCGGCTCCAGCCCCGAGACGGCCGCCGAGCGAAGGGGAGAAATGCCCGGGCAGGCGCTGCCACTCACCGCCTCTCCGAGCCCTGCCGCCCCGGCGCGGGGGGTGTCTCAGGCAGAGCCCAGGCAGCGCCGGCCGCCTCCCGCTGCCTGTCTCCAGCGGCGGCTCTGCGTGCGCTCAGCCCGGCTCTGCCTCCAGCTCATTCCCAGGCTCGCCTCCTTCCCCCGCCTCCCCTGGCTGCTGCCTGTCTGGCTCCCGGTGACAGGCAGCCGGAGAGAGACGGGGAAGGAAGCAAGCTGCGGGGGGAGGGGAAGCTTCCTGCCCAGCCCCGCCGCCGGGATTCACGGGCCACACTGACATCTGCTGGGCGGGATGCGCCACAGGCGGGGGCCACCCTCCAGGCCGGGCGCTGCGATCCGGTCGAGGGGATTCAGATGGACCTGCCCCCCCCTCACATCAGGCCAGGGCTTGGCGCTGCACGGGGGGTCCAAACCGGTGTCCATGCCTCAGTGCTTGGAAGGGTGATACAGACTGTGAAAAAAGAACAGGCGTCCTTGCGGCACCTGTGAGACGAACACATTTATTAGCGCATAAGCTTTCCTGGGCTACAGCTCACTTCATGGGATGCATGCTTCATTCCACTTCATCGGTGGAAAATACGGTGGGGAGATTTATATACACAGAGAACATGAAACAATGGGTGTCGCCATACACCCTGTAAGGAGAGCTTCGAAACTCTCTGCTGTCAAAGGTCCCACAGGCCCTTTCATAGACTCATAGAATATCAGGGTTGGAAGGGACCTCAGGAGGTCATCTAGTCTAACCCCCTGCTCAAAGCAGGACCAATCCCCAATTTTTTCCCCAAATCCCTAAATGGCCCCCTCAAGGATTGAACTCACAACCCTGGGTTTAGCAGGCCAATGCTCAAACCACTGAGCTATCCCTCCCCCTTTCCTGGCTCTGCTGATAGCCTCTTGGCGCCTTACCTCCCAAATGCAGTGACCAGCACTACAGTGGCTCACATGTTGATTCACCCTTGTTTGTACCTCTGCTCCATCGTGCACTACTTCCATAAAGTGGGGTCATCGCATGCTTGACGTACCAGGGGCAGCTAATGCTGCTGTCCTTTGTGCCTATGCTTGTTAAGCATGGAAATTTTCAGAGATACCCTCCCCCTGTCAACAAAAATCCTCTTAATTGCTTAATATGACGTTTCTCCTCCCAAAAAAAAGGCCACCCTCCATACCAAATCCCCTTTTCTTGCCAAAGCACATGACCCACTCAATTGCCCTTCCCCACCCAGGGTGTAGTTACCCAAGTTCCTTCCCTGCAATTAGTCTACTGGATAATTTTAGATAAGACATACTGAGTGGGGCGGGGAGCAAATAGTAACAAATGGACATGGTGAAGAATGACAAGAGTTACAACGGTAAGATTACTGTGTGCATTTCTGATGGTTCAAATGTGTTTAGGGGAATTTTTGTTTGTTTTTATTTGTGGGGCTGTGTTTTGTTTGCTTTGCTTTTGCTTTTTTTGTTTTGTGTTTGCTTGCTTGCTTTGTTTTGTTGCTTGATTTTTCTGCTTCCCCTTTTTGTAGGTATTGTTTAAGATGTGAGTTGTAAGGCTAGAGTGGGATGCACCAAGGATAGTGATTTGGCAGATCAGAATTGAGAAGGCTTTCCATACCTACATAGCATAATGGTAAGAGGCACACAAATTATTGTGGGAGATGCAGATGAACAGAGCATCCAGGCTGGAATTATAAATAAAGTAAAGGGGCCTGGCTGCCATGCAGAAAAGACAGTGCCTGATACATAAGAGTTATGCATGTCTTGAGAGTAATGCAAGCAGTTTGAACTAGATGGAAAATGTGAACTAGTAGAGGGAATCCAAGAAAGGGGCATACAGGGTCAGATTGACACTGACAAAGATAATTTTAACATTCATATTTTGGATGAACTAAAGCAAGGAGCAATAGGAGTGTTAGGTAGCCCAGAGAAGGTAGATTGCATCAATCAATCTGATATCACCATGGATTTTCAACCTGGAGGTCTCAAACAGTAACCAGAAGGTCGCAACGACCCTGCCCTTCCTATGGAAAAGGTTGAGACACCGTGCTCACTCAATGCTTCCCCTACTGGCTCAAATTGGCCGAGTTCCAGTTTTAAGTCCTCTAAATAGATGCCTCTGTATTTTGGAGCTGAAGGTCAAGAGTTCTACACTCCCAAGCACAGACTATCCTCAGCCCTAACCTCCTCAATGCCATTGCAAAGAAAAAGAAATGCAGATTGTGTTTAAAGTCCTTCACTTCTGTCACGGAATTTTACCAAGTCCCCACAGGCACTTCTTTAATCCAAAGAAAAATTCTTGAAACATAACAAATCACCCACCCTCTAACAGATTATCCCCATGTACAGATTCTGGAGCAGAGGTCAGATTGCTGAGGGATTTTGCTTCTTAAAAAAGGAGACAGGATATAGGGAAAAGTGGGCTATTTCTGCTTGCCATCACACAGAAAATCAATCTCCATCCTGATAAGTACACAATGAATAGCAACACTTCTCATGTATCTTTAGCAGGTATGGGCAGGCATAAACTGATGTCATATATTAGACATTCACTAATGGGCCAGATTACACTCTCAGATGCACCAGTGTAACCAAGAGTACAATATGGCCCTCTTTTATTAATATCTAGGGGTGGATGAATGAAAACAAGTTTGAGTTCACGCTATAACCACAACATTCAACAAAGGTGAATGGAAACAGTGCCCCCCACCCCCGCCCCATATTCTGGCAATGACTTTTACCACTGTTACAACTCGAGGGAATTTGTGCCACTACTTTACTGAATCTCTGTCATGCCAAACTCACACAATTTGGTTAAGCCAAGTAGGTTGTCAAATGACTCCTTTGGTTCAGCAATCACCCAAACTGCTCATTTAGCCCTAACACACACTTTATAAGTATTATTTATAGCTAATGAACACTTAAAATACTGGTATTTTTCTAATGTTTTTAACTTCTTTCATCCTTTTCCTTCTTTCTAACTTTCCACAGAAAAGTCCAGAGTATGACGTTGAGAGAAATATGCAAATACATTTTCACAGTGTCACACATTTCTCATCCTTTTTTTTTTTTTTTTTTTTTTTGGAGTTAACTTTTGAGCCAGTGAAATTTTCCTATTTGAAAAATGTTATGGACCCAGGATGGTTTACCAGACCAAAGTCTACTTTTGACTCAAAGATTTATATGCATTTCAAATTTCACACGAAAGTATGATGGCAGGCTTCTTTTGGCAATTTGGGCTTCTGCAAGGAAGATTGGGAAAGGAGCAATACAGGGACAGTCACACATGCACTGATAATACGTTGTTTTCATTGGCATATGCCAGGAGAATGAGAATGGAATACCCAGAGAGGTAGGCAAAACAGAAGTCCATTCTTGAGACACTGTGATGTTAGCACCTGGAAAGAGAACAGCTGTTACTAGATATTTTTGCAGCGTGGAAGCAGGGATTCACACAAAAAAGAAGACTGCTCTTCTTTGTGTCAATCCCTGTTCCCACACTGCAAAAATACACTGGAGGATCATGAGCTCTTGCTGCAGTGTGGAATAGATAGGCCCATCCTGCTGATGCCTTATGGAAGGTGATGTGAGTGGTCAATGTGTCTAAGGTGTGGAGAGAAAACAGCTAGTACTCACTACTAGTTAGGCACCTCCTCTGGGCCCAGTGCTGATCCTGCCACTGAAACCCCTTTGCCCCTACAAGGCAAAGGATGCAACAGGCTCCTATGAGGAGAGACAATCAAGGAGGCTAGTATTTCAGGTAGTTGGAGTCAGAGGAGTGAGTTTGAGACTGAGGACATAATGGATGTTGGTTTTGGTTACTGTTATGGTGTGGGAGTAGATGACTTGGCCTGTTTCCAGCCAGGAAACCACAAGCAATATATTCTAAGTATTACTGATTCTTATGATCTGTAACACTAAGAGTTCAAGGGAGATCCAATTCAAAACACAGAAACCACAGCACAAACATAGCTAAATTATGTACAGGAGCACATACCAAACCAGTCTCACTACAGCTAAACTACAAGTAAAAGCATGTTGCAAACCACTCTAGCCATAACAAAACTACATCTAAATCTATCACTAGGAGAATTTTAGGTTCGGAATTTGGGTGCTCATCTTAATTATTTTACCCCAGCAGGCCACACAACCTCTTCTCCCTGCATGTGGCTTACTGCCTGGAGGGCCATAATGACAGACCTTTCCCCCAAATACTGCCGATCATCTTTTCCTGGTGCTATCTTGCAGAAAAAGACTGCTGGCCTGCTGTCCCCCTTCTGGCATCTGTGGGTGGATTACTCTTCACCTAATGTTGTCCAGAGGCCATGTCATAAATATAAAGGGAAAGGTAAACCCCTTTAAAATCCCTCCTGGCCAGAGGAAAAATCCTCTCACCTGTAAAGGGTTAAGAAGCTAGGATAACCTCGCTGGCACCTGACCAAAATGACCAATGAGGAGACAAGATACTTTCAAAAGCTGGGGGGGAGGGAGAAACAAAGAGTCTGTCTGTGTGAAGCTTTTGCCGGGGACAGAACAGGAATGGAGTCTTAGAACTTAGTAAGTAATCTAGCTAGATATGCGTTAGATTATGATTTCTTTAAATGGCTGAGAAGTAAGTTGTGCTGAATAGAATGGATATTCCTGTCTGTGTGTCTTTTTGTAACTTAAGGTTTTGCCTAGAGGGATTCTCTATGTTTTGAATCTAATTACCCTGTAAGGTATGTACCACCTGATTTTACAGAGGTGATTCTTTTTATTGTTACTTCTTATTTACTGTTTCTTCTATTAAAATTCTTCTTGTAAGACCTGAATACTTTTTTATTGTTCTTAAGATCCAAGGGTTTGGGTCTGTGGTCACCTATGCAAATTGGTGAGGATTTTTACCAAACCTTCCCCAGGAAGTGGGGTGCAAGGGTTGGGAGGATTTTTGGGGGAAAGATGTTTCCAAACAATGCTTTCCTAATAAAATAAACCCAGATAAACGTTTGGTGGTGGCAGTAGAAGTCCAAGGGCAAAGGGTAAAATAGTTTGTACCTTGGGGAAGTTTTAACCTAAGCTGGTAAAAGTAAGCTTAGGAGGTTTTCATGCAGGTCCCCACATCTGTACCCTAGAGTTCAGAGTGGGGAAGGAACCCTGACAGGCCACCAAGAAGGGCCAACTACACCCTCAAACCCGGATGGTCTCTGCAGCAGGAGGAGATACGTAGTCTCCCCACT